CAATTGGAAGAGGATAGTCAATGTCACTGAACTGTGCATGTAGAAATTTTTGAAATGGTGTATCTTTGGCTATGTTTATTTTCACCAAAAAAAAAGAAGTCAAGAAGGGAGAGGGTTGTCATGTCGTGTGGTTGTTAACCAATGTCATAAAACAGTGTGTGTACTACTGTTTAATGAGAAACGATTTGTTCTGTAAACCCTCACCTGAAGTACAATAAAAAAAAAAAAAAAACCCTCAAGTGTTGAACATTTAATTTAATTTGCTACTGGAATGAGGAAGGGGTCTAAAATTAGAAGTCAGAATGTGTGCTTATTTTCTTCCTTTAATGTCAGAATAGGAGCCCTGTTTGCACAGTGGTTAAGCTCTTGGCTGCTAACAGAGAAACCAGTGGTTCAAACTCACCATTCGCTCTACAGGAGAAAGATGTGGCAGTCTGCTTCCTTAAAGATTTACTGCCTTGGAAACCCCATGGGGGCTGTTCTACTCTGTGCTATAGGGTCACTATGGGGTCAGAACTGACTCAACAGCAATAGGTTTGTTTTGGGGTTTGAATGTCAGAATTAGAGATTTGAACCAGTTCATTCTGGTTTGGTCTCTTGCTGAGAATGTGTTTTTCCACCCCAGATGTACTGAATCAGAATCCACATTTTAACAAGACCCCAGGTGATTCTTATGGTTACATCTAAATCACCTGGGGATCTACAAGAATCACCTGGGGATTTTGTTAAAATGTAGATTCTGATTCAGTATATTTGGAGTGGAAATGCAAATTCTTAGCAGGGAGTCGAATCTGAATGAACCAGTTGGAAGCCCTGGTCAGAATTAATATGACCTTCTATTACAAAAAAAATACATGGACATTATTGGGGAATTTAGTCAAATAACCAATTAACTGCTGTTAGTTGAATAAATAATATGCATTATCTTATTCATATATGCTTAAACAAGTATTTTACCCAGATTACTAATAATTACCATGCTAGTTGGTATATGAGGAGCCCTGATGGTTAAGCGCTCAGCTACTAACCAAAAGGTTGGTAGTTCGAACCCACCAGCCACTACGCCAGAGAAGAGATCAGGTGATCTGCTCCTGTAAAGATTATAGCTTAGAAAACTCTTTTACGCCTCTAGAAAAACCAGACTAAGATATTTTGCATTTTAGAGGTACTTTCTGAAATGTTTGCAGATGGAATTTGTTCCAGAATGGTGGGGTGTACTTACTGAGCTGAGTGACGGGCACATGCAGGTCATTAGGTTATTTATTACTTATTATATATGAGGCAGTTCTACTCTGTCATATAGGGACACTGTGAGTCAGAATCAGCTTGACGGCATACAACAACAACAACAGTTGGTATGCAACATGTTTTCTACAAAGGAGAGAAATACACAAGTAAAGGAGATATGAAGACAAACGACTTGATCATTACCCACAAGCAGCTGAAAAAAAATCTATGCCCAAACTAACTATAAAATTACCACAGCTACTAAATCATAGTACGCATCAAGTTCAAAGAAAACCTAAAGAAAAGAAAGCTTTCTGGGGCCAATGGCAGTATCTTTGCCTGCAGAAGCCTGCTTGCCACCCTGCCCTGAAGCCTATCACAAATATTTTCTCTTCTGTCTGCCCTCTGAACTCACAGCCCTGTAACCTCCGTTAGTAACACCTGGATGCCAGTGATCCTTGTTGTTTTCACTGTACACTCTCAAATTCCAGGCATCTAGGCTAGGACTTCACATTTTAAAGCGCCCACATCTTCTTGTAGGAGTGTTGCCTAAACTGAACCTAAGCATTTCTATTCAGAGTATTTTTTTGTTTTTAGATCTTCCTAATTTATTCAAAATATTGTACTTAGCCTTAGAAATAGGCTTTTCCAGTTGGATTGTTTGTATGTATACTTAAAAACCAAAACCAAACTTGTTGCTATTGAGCCTATTCCAACTCATAGCAACCCTATAGGACAGAGTAGAACTGCCCCATAGGGTTTCCAAAGAGTGGCTAGTGGATTCGAACTGCCAACTTTTTGGTTAGCAGCTGAGCTTTTAACCACTTCACCACATGTGTAGTTACTGTAATGATTATTTTGATGTTTCCCCTCTCCCATTTTATTCAGAAAACTTCTAGCTTCTTTTTATACGGTTTATTCTACTTTTATCTTTAGTTTTTATTGAGGAATGGAAAGTAGCAGTACAAGAGGGTCAAAGATGCATGTAGAGGGAATTTCAAATAAATCAATATTCTTGGTTTTCTAGATTAGATTTAAACAAGTCTTTTCCATACCCCTGACTAGATCCCAAAAGCAGGGATGCAAAGTCCCACTCAAAAATTTACCCATTTTGCTAACTCTGGAGATCACAAAGACTAATAAACCTTTACGGACGAGTGATAAGAATACTAAGGTAGTTTAATACCTTTCAGGAATAGTCTGTTAAACCATGTTTCCACAATGATTAAAGCCATTTTAGGGAGTTGCATAAACCAAAAAAAAATGTTTTGCTGACGTAACTCTTGAAAACATAGTCGCGAAATTTCAATAAATTTGGTTAGGGGTTTGATTAGAAATATATCGTTGAAAAATAGTCCCCAAATGACCATGATTTGTTTAATTTTGAGGAAAGGTATGAGTCAGTCTTTATTTCATCCAAAGACGTCCTCCAATTCCTACTATTATGAGTCTACTTGGTTTACTTCTCTGTTTATTTGTAAGTATTTTTGGTCATTTTAATTTTCCAGGCAATTACCAATAATAAAAGGACAGAGTTTATGGGTTGTAATAAAATTTGGGTCATTTAAAATGTGCTGGATTTACTGTTTAACTCTGGGGAAGTCATGTCTAGTAGCTGGGAAATATTTTGTAAAATATACTTGTAATTAAACTCAGGCTGCTTGCACTGGTCTTTAAAAATCAACTACTGAGCTTGCATAAGGGGGAGGCAAACTCACATTAGACTGTAAATAGCGGAACAAAGTTACAATGCTAGCTCTTGCCTAAGGCAGGCTATTCACTCCAAGAATGTAACAGATGTCTTTTTTTTTTTTTTTTTTTAATCATTCCTCAGTGTTCTGACTTTTTCCATAATTTGTATGTTGGATTTTATGTAATGGAAAACTTGTTGTTGTTCTTAGTTGCTGGTTGAGTTGGGTCTGACGCATGGTGATCTCATGTTTCACAGAATGAAACATTGCCAGGTCCCACACCATCCTGACGTTCACTGTCATGCTTGAGTCCATGATTGTCTTCCGACCTACAGGCCTCATTGTCCAGCACATTATCAGGCATCATCTGTTGTGATCCATAGAGTTTTCCCCGGTGAATTTTTGGAAGCAGATCACCAGACCTTTCTTCCTAGTCTGTCTTAGTCTGGAAGCTCCACAGAAACCTGTCCACCATGGGTGACCCTGCTGGTATGTGAAATACCAATGGCATAGCTTACCAGCATCATAGTAATGCACAAGTCACTCCAGTACAAACAAACTGACAGACAAGCGGAGGAAACGGAAAACTAGAATGCAGCAAACCAAGAATTCTGTAAGAAGTCTAGTCATATACTGGGGAAAAATGTATTTGTTCAATAAATAAAATTATTAATCTGTCTCAAGATGAATTCCTTTTGCTTGTAAGAACCATATTCTTTCATAAAGGACTACTACTACTCTGTTGTCTTTCTGTATTTCAAATGCACCATTTCCTTTCACATATAAAATCTCTGTCTGATGATCAAATGGCAACTAGTGTGCATATAATTATGGTTTGGTACTATAATATGTATAGTTTATGATATCTTTAATGTTATTCATTCTTCACTTTAATCTTTTTTATCTGAGAATGAGATTTTAGATGCTAGTTCTAGATTATCACTATGCATTACTTGCAGTTCATCAAACTCATCATACTATATATACTGTCATGTGAAATCATAATCACCATCATGGAGATTATTCTATATTAAAAATAGTTTGGGGATATTTAATTTTAATAAACTTGTACAATACACTTTTTCTCTTATTTAAACCTGTTTTTCCCTCCAGGAGACCATTAGTAAAAATGAGTGTCCAAGATAAATCAATATAGGTGGCCTTAAGATGGTAATGATATGAGCAGAAAGCAACATCTAGATGATTTTTAGTTGGATGTGAAAACCATGTAGCGTTACATTTTTTTCAAAGACAGAACTCCACTATTCTTACAAATTCTTTTTCTTTGTTCCTTTTTTCTTTTCAGTTAAAAACCAAAAAAAAAAAAAAAAAATTATTATATAATTTCCACATCCTATTTTGCAATTTTGCTGTGTGATACCATGAATAAAGTTATTTCTGGATTCTGCAGAAAGGGGAAATGAGGAACCTAGATAAGTTCAAGAAATGAAATGAAAGGAACTTTTTAACCACAGGGTAATAGTCATCCAGAGAGATACAAACTAGAATTAGATGCTATTGGATACAACATTTTCTAAAATAATCTAGCGCTCTGGGGCTCCATAAAATATATTAGGGCAGAAACGAACACTAATAAAATATTCAGTTAAAATTAGCATTTTTGAAAGACTCTATATACACTTTTTATCTAAAAAATTAAACTATACTTTCTTCCCCTACACCTTCTTTATTTTCAGAATTGGAAATAATTGGATACCCCCTTGGATACTGCAATGGGACTGCAGGGAATAGCTGCAGAAGAGAATACAGTGAAGCACTGCCCCCTGGTGGTCATAATATTCAACGGGGAATAATAACTGTAATACCTAAGGATTGGGGACAGGGGTGGTGGTGACTCGAATTAATTTCAATTTAATTTGCCTAGATTTGCTGTGAAAGTAGCCTCCACGTCCACTACCACGACCTCCAAAAAAGTCCCATATATTCTGATATATAGGATATATAAGACACAAAACCACATGCTGACTCTTTAGGGCAATAGAAACTGAGTTTAGTTAATGGTGACTCAAAGTACTTCCTGTTTTGTGGGGATCAAAAACATTCAAAATATCTATCTTCTGAAAGTGATACAGTGTTTAGCTTCTGCCAGAGACATAGACATTGAAAATAAAACCATAAAAAAATACTAATATTCAATTATTATTTAAACCAGAATTGGCTCCATGGCAATGGGCTTGGTTTGGTTTTGGTTTGATCAATAAATAATTTGTATCTGTCATTTGTCACATTAATTATACAGTGGTAGACTAGAGATGTACACTAATGGTTCCAGTACATTAAAGGAATGGAGCACTGAAATTTAACCGGCTCCATCAGAGATGCTATGCAGGGTAAAACTCTGATTTTGAAGCATTGTTATTATTATTATTTGCTTGTTTCCAGAAATGTATGGTGTGATCCAAAGAAATGTTACTTAACAAAAGGTATAGGTATCTCCATGTGTGGTGGCAGAGTTATTTTACAGGGTTGTGTTGTCGCTGGTAGCCATCAAGTTGACAGAAAAAATTGCCCTATAGGGTTTTCTGGGCTGTAGTGGTGTTCAATTGAGATGTGCCAGTTAAACTGGAACCCCTTCATCTCAGTCATTTTCCTAACTAAGCACTTTTACTCATTGCTGTCAAGTCAATTCCAACTCAAGGATAGATTATACCCTGATGTGCTTGAGAGACAAAATAAACACACGAATTCTCTAATTTCATCTATCTAGAACTTTTCTTGCTGATGTAATGGATGCTTTCTGAAATAAAAAGGACCGTAACGTTGCACATTGCTTTTACAGTTTGTCTCTATAGCTGAACTTCGGGACCATTCCTCAATTACATTTCCTTTCCTAACTCTTACTTTCTGTTTAGTTGTATGTCTTATGGAGCTAATCATAACCCTGAGTTATTTTTTTGGTTTCCAGATAAAGCAAATTTTGAGAACGTCCTTTTCATGAGGCTTCAATTAAAAAAAAAAAAAAAAAAACCAGCTTTCCTGTTACTCTGGTCACACACATGGCAAAAAGGAAATTAAATTGTTTGCTGACATGTCTCTTATGGTTTGAGTCTGGGCTTCCTTTCCTAGGAGCCTTACCAAGCACTCAACTTTCACAGACAATCTTTTGTGGGTGGTGACCTCATTGGAATCTGAGAGCAAAGGCTAAAAAATATGCCATAATAATTACAAACAAACCCTAGCTCTGGTGAAGGATTGCTTGGTTCACATTCTTCAAGTAGTTGGAAAAATGCTTTCTGGATAGTTTAATAGTAGGTCTCTTCGTTTAAAAACAACACTGCTTCCAGACATTCAAGTTCTTGTTTATGGAATTACTACTTTCCAAGTTACAGTATAGGCTTAGGATAAACTCTGTTTCTTCTTCCTTCTTCATCATCTCTCATATATGTTGTTGCCATCAAGTCGATTCTGACTCTTTCAAGTGCGTTCCGACTTATAGCGACCTTATGTACAACAGAAATAACACTGCCAAATCCTGCACCATCCTCACAATCGTTGCTATGTTTGAGCCCACAGTTGCAGCCACTGTGTCCATCCATCTTGTTGAGGGTCTTCCTCTTTTTCATTGAACCTCCACTTTACCAAGCACGATGTCCTTCTCCAGGGACTGTTTCCTCCTGATAACATGTCCAAAGTATGTGAGACAAAGTCTCACCATCCTTGCTTCCAAGGAGCATTCTGGCTGTATTTCTTCCAAAACAGATTTGTTCGTTCTTCTGGAAGTCCGTGGTATATTCAATATTGTTCTCCAACACCGTAATTTAAAGGCATCCATTCTTTCTTGTTCATTGCCAGGCTTTTGCATGCATATGAGGCAATTGAAAATATCATGGCTTGGGTCAGGCACACATTAGTCCTCAAAGTCACATTTTTGCTTTTTAACACTTTAAAGAGGTCTTTTGCAACAGATTTGCCCAATGCAATACATTGTTTGATTTCTTGACTAATGCTTCCATAGGTGTTGATTGTGGATCCAAGTAAAATGAAATCTTTGACAACTTCAATATTTTCTCAGTTTATCATGATGTTGCTTATTGGTCCAGTTGTGAGGATTTTTGTTTTCTTTATGTTGAGGTGTAATCCATACTGAAAGCTGTAGTCTTTTATATTCATCAGTAAGTGCTTCAAGTCCTCTTCACTTTCAGCAAGCAAGGTTGTGTCATCCCGTAACGCAGGTTGTTAACGAGTCTTACTCTAATCCTGATGCCACGTTCTTCTTCATATGACCAGCTTCTCGGATTCTTTGCTTAGCATACAGATTGAATAAATATGGTGAAAGGATACAACATTGACACACACCTTTCCTGATTTTAAACCACGCAATAACCCCTTGTTCTGTTCAAACAACTGTCTCTTGGTCTAAGTATAGATTCTGCCTGAGCACAATTAAGTGTTTTGGAATTCCCATTCTTCTCAATGTTCCCTGTCGAAGTACTGCTGCAAAAGTTTTTGGATTATCTTCACAAAAATTTTACTTGCACATAATATTAATAATATTGTTTGATAACATCCACATTTTATTGGATCACCTTTCTTTAGAATGGGCATAAATTTGGATCTCTTCCAGTCATTGGTCAGGTAGCTGTCTTTCAGATTTCCAGCACTGGGTCCGTTTGTTGAAATATCTCAATTGGTGTTCTGTCAGTTCCTGAAGCGTTGTTTTTCGCCATTCCCTTCAGTATAGCTTGGACTTCTTTCTTCAATAACGTCAGTTCAAAACCATAAGCTACCTCCTGAAATTGTTGCAAGTTGACGAATTCTTTTTAGTACAGTGACTCTGTGTATTCTTTCCCTCTGCCTTTGATGCTTCCTGTGTCATTCAATATTTTGACCGTAGAATCCTTCAATACTGCAACTTGAGGCTTGAATTTTTTCCTCAGTTATTTCAGCTTGAGAAATGCCATGTGTGCTCTTCCTTTTTGGTTTTCTGACTCTAGGACTTTGCATATTTTAGTATAATACTTTACTTTGTCTTCTTGAGCTGCCCTTTGAAATCTTCTGTTCAGTTCTTTTACTTCATCATTTCTTCCATTCGCTTTAGCTACTCTACGTTCAAGAGCAAGTTTCAGAGTCTCTTCTGACATCCATTTTGGTCTTATCTTTCTTTCCTGTCTTTTTAATCACCTTTTGCTTTCTTCATATATGCCATTCTTCATGTCATTCCACAACTTGTCTAGTCTTCGGTCATTAGTGTTCAATGTATCAAATCTATTCTTGAGATAGTGTCTAAATCCAGGTAGGATATATTCAAGGTCATACTTTGGCTCTTGTGGACTTGTTTTAATTTTCACAGCTTCAACTTGAATTTATATATGAGTAATTGATGGTCTGATCTGTAGTTGGTCCCTGGCCTTGTTCTGACTGATGATATTGAGCTTCTCCATTGTCTCTTTCCATAGACGTAGCCAGTTTGAGTCCTGTGTGTCCCATCTGGACAGGTCCAAGTGTATATCACCATTTATGTTGTTGAAAAGGTATTTGCAATGAATAAGTTGTTGGTCTTGCAATATTCTATCAAGTGATCTCTGGGGTTGTTTCTATCACCAAGGCCATATTTTCCTTCTTTGTTTCCAACTTTCGCATTCCACTCACCAATAATTATCAATGCATCTTGATTGCATGTTTGATCAATTTCAGATTCCATAAGTTGGTGCAAATCTTCAATTTCTTCATCTTTGGCATTAGTGGTTGGTGCATAAATTTGAATATAGTTGTATTAACTGGTCTTCCTTGTAGGTGTATGAATATGCGATCATTGACAATGTTGTACTTCAGGATAGATCCTGAAATGTTCTTTTTGACAATGCATATGACATTGTTCCTCTTCAATTTGTTATTCCCAGCATAGTAGACTATATAATTGTCCTATTCAAAATGGCCAATACCAGTCCTTTTCAGCTCACTAATGCCTAGGATATTGATCTTTATATGTTTCATTTCATTTTTGACAACTTCCAATTTTCCTAGATTCATATTTCATACATTCTAAATCCCGATTATTAATGGATGTTTGCAGCTGTTTATTCTTATTTTGAGCCATGCCACATCAGTAAATGAAGATTCCATCCACATCATTAAGGTCAACTCTACTTTGAGAAGGCAGTTCTTCCCCAGTCGTATTTTGAGTGTCTTCCAACCTGAGGGGGTCATCTTCTGGCACTATATCAGACAATGTTCAGTTGTTATTCATAAAGTTTTCACTGGCCAATCTTTTTCAGAAGTAGACTGCCAGATCCTTCTTCCCAATCTATCTTAGTCTGGAAGCTCCACTGAAACCTGTCCACCATGAGTGGTCTTGCTGGTATTTGAAATACCAGTGGCATAGCTTCCAGCATCACAGCAACAAGCAAACCACTACAGTAGGACAAACTGAAAGTCAAGTGGTGGTTCTTACTCTAATTAATTAATAAGTTATAAAATCTCTTTTCTAAAGCTAATTTTCTGCTATATCCTTAATGTAATATCACTTCACTTTAGACTACTAATACTCTGACTATAACTTTTATTAATTTCCATCTCTATGCATCCCCTTCACTTTCATGCCCATCTCTCTTTGTTTTGTCTCGTGCTCAGTTGTTTTCATTTGCCTTTCATGCACTTTACATGCTTTCGTAATCCAAGGACAGAAGCCAAAATGGAAGAAGAAAAAAATCCTTTGGTATGAGTTCTCCTTCATAGCTTTTGTTTAAACACCATTACCTTATATAACCCTGGATTTCTTTGTTGGCCTACTAGGACGAATGCTTTTGTCTTCTCTTCTGAATTCTTGGATCTGCCATGTAAAGCTGTCTAGTACCAATTAGCTCTTCTTCTAGAA